GGTTTAGGGTTTAGGGATTAAGGACCTTGAATTCCTGAATCCGAAGCCCTAAGCTCAAAATCCGGGACCCTATACTAGTTTCAAGGTTTGACGGGAGGTGTTCGGCAGGATTTGGGCGTTTTGGCAAGTTCCCCTGATTCGTGGCCGAGGTGTTGTTTGCAGCTTCAGACGAATGCAGTGAGCGTTTCGTTGCTTCGGATTCTGGCATGAAAGTTGTGCAGTGCTTTGAAATTTTCAAGCCAGGATTCGAGTCGATCGCCAATGGCAGGGTGGTTAAGCGTCGCCCGCGAGCCGGAACGAGATGGAACTGACGGTTTAGGGTTTCAAAGTGCAAATAAGGGGGAATGACAATGAGAAATGCTATTCGTTAGGTTTCCGTATTTTAAATGTTGTATTATTCTGATATTCCCTGGGTTTGGGGTTCAGAACCGACTGAACAGAATGGAGCGAGGAAGAGGACATGTAGAGGAATGGAGTGGAAGGGAACAGATCGAGGCGCAGCAGATCAAAGTGCCCCGGAACGGATGCCCACCGTCTTTTCATGTGGGTGGTTGTCAAAATTATGGTCCTTTTTGGGGTATCCTAAATAATAGGTGCCGTATTATAATAAGGACCCAAAAAGGGACCCTAATTCCCATGTCTGTACTTGCGGGAGCGATGTCCTAAAACAGGGCCAGACTTCATCCCTGCGAAGTTTGGCAAACGCACCGGGGTCACCAGGGTTTGGGCGACAGGGCAAACACGACCAAGCTTGACTAGCCAAGGCTTTGCAGTAACACACTGGTTCGAACTTGTTGCTTTCGACATCCAGACGGGTACACGCGACCACCTCAAAATTCGGAGCTTGCAAGCCAAATCTGAGTCAATAGGTTTCCTGCCTAAATTCAATCGTCTGACGGAGCATCTCGAGGCGCTACAGTCAGATTTCAACATTCCTTTTTCCAAGGTTTTGGACAGGCACGTTGCAGACCATTCTCACAACTCGCCATGCCGAACTCCATTATATGATATCGTTATATAAGGGTTTGATTGTAATATATTACGTTATGCTATAATATATGACTTGATCAGTTGTCGTACTATATTCTATGATGTTATGCTGATTACATGTATTGTACTACATTACATGGTATTCTGCAGTTCATCACATCATTCATGATATTTTAAACTGTTGTAAGTTGTCATGTGGTTTCTAGGCAGTGTATTATGTATTCTGGCATTTTGGTGCTATATTACATGGTATTATATATATATCTATCTATATATATATATATGTAAGAGAAC